AAGCACAAAATGGTTACAAGGTCGGTCCTAGGGACCAAGCTGAGGGAGTTAATTTGAACCAAAATATTTTAGACATTTGTATTGGCTAAAAAGAAGGCATTTTTCGCACTCTTTTAGCATTGGGGCTGTGAAAAGTGATTTGAAGTGGTAAGGTGGCTGAAAGCCGTCAGCACATCACGAGCTCAACAGCCAAGCACAAGAAGCATGGAAGTCTCCAAATGACACGCAGAGGTATTCAGAGGCATTTTGGTAAATATTGTGCAACAAGCTGTTATGCTTGTACCTGCTTTCAAAGTGTTCCTTTATGCTCATCCTGCTTCTGACTATTGTGATGCTTTGACCTTGCCTACTGAATTCCAGGTGAAATTGTTCGTATCTCAGATGAAAGCTAAACATAAAAAGTGATACCAGAAGCATAAAAGGTTGGCAATTGCTTTAATAATGATGCTTAGAATGTGGCTTTATTGATATATACTGAAATTATTCCCAGCAGGTAGACCTTAGTACTAGCTAGCATGGAGACTTGAGGATGCTGTATTTCACTTAATAATTTATCAATTAACAAAAGAGAACTTGTCTCAAAAGATACGTCCAAAACCACCCTCTCTGGGAGTTTCCAGATCAAAATTGCTGTTAATATTCAACAAATTGTAGTGTAAGACACCCACTGGCCCCATGAGGGACATGGTAAAAATTCATTACTTATAAATTCATACCACTTGCATTTTCACCTATTATGGGCATCAAGAAGAAAATTCCAACATCTAAACAGTGAAAAATCAATTCTGATGTATCCTAAACAATATGAACTTTGATGTAAACAAATCTCTAGACACACTGTTAGTCTGGAAAAAGTCAAGGCAAAAAAAATTATTATGGCAACATTTGATTGACATTTATACTGTTGTAGTAGCTAAGAAATAATTAGTTACTGGTTGTGGCCTTAACTGTGACTCTGCAGTGTGATTTCAGAAAACCTCCCAATCAAATAAAAACACCTGTTTTTCAATAATTTCTGAAAGACCCCCTCCTAGATCTGCATCTATTTACACAATATTAAATAATACAGTTATTAGTTTCTAAGAACACTGGGTGGAGGAGGTTAGCCCCTCTAGATCTACACCTGCTTACACAACATTCAAGACTACAGTTACAAATTTGGAATAACCATAAACAGTAATAATTGGAAACACACTTCACAACATTAATCAATGTAATCACTGCTCATAGGTAATTGATCATATTAATTAATCAATTAATTCATATAACTCAACTCTCTGTTTTTAAAATATGTTTTGTTTCAATATTTAAAGTACCCAGTACAGGTAATTAGATTCTTTTGCTTCTTAATTTGAAATTTTATTTTACAATGAACTGTGAAGAATTTCATAGTTTATGATACTTACCACAAAACCAAATCCATTTTTTATAAGGACTTCTCTTATCCGTCCATATCCTTTAAAGAACTTTTCCAAATCTCTCTCACGGCAATCATAGTTTAAACGTCCAATATATACTCTGGTTCCCATGTCAGAACTTTATAGCAAATCACTGTAGAAAATTATACAAGAAAATCCAAGCTTTCCAATAGTTTCAATACATGCAGATGCATATATTTTTACAAATCTATATATTTTCCAAGAAAATAAAAATAATTTGTTTTCACTCCATGTTTCAGTATGAAAAGTGAAAAATTTCACTAAATATTTGTGTCACCACAACATTTCTAAGCTTTCTCTATAACATAAATCTATACATGACTATATATATATATATATACACACAAGCTAATGCACAGAACATCATTCTCAGATTTAGAATTTTCGACACAAGTTTCATATGGTACAAACATAATCCTACCTTTTCATATTATTTAACTTGAAATGAAATAAAAACAGAAAAGATTTACTTAAAACTTTAGATTCTGAGATTGACGATATACAGTACAACAGGAAGGTTCGGAATTTGATTATAAAAGAAATTAGGAAATCCAATAGAACTTATGAGAAACAAACCACCAGCTGATAGTGTTAAAACTAAACAACAAGGATTTGTAAAAGTTTGTTAATGATAAGCAAAATGTTAGAGAGGGGATTAAGCCCTTGCAGGATGTTGATGGTTATTGTTGATGACTGTGAAATAATTGAGCTTTATAATGTCCCTTTCTGTATTTACAAGAAAAGATAACATCAATATTCATTACCTTCAGCATTCTGTGTGAAATACTGGAATAGACCAGAATTGTGTAAATATTAGCCCTCTGGATAGGGGTAGGTAAAGGTAGAAAAAGAGCATATGTCAATAAACTTGGCATCAAAATGTAGTTAATAAACCAAATTTTAATATTATATGTCTCAGTATATTAATTTCAAAAGGAAATACTGAAATAAAGTTCTCAATCCTCACTTTTATGTATCACACGACTTTTCTTTGTTCCAAATTGCCAATTTTAGACATTATTTCCACTTCTATTTAAATTGAGTTTTAAAACAAATTACAAACTTTTGTATAGATATTGCTAAACCATAATCTAAACTCATAGCCTCCAATCTTCTTGCTTTATTGAGATCATAAACCAGAAAGTCAAGCTCACATACCATGCCCTCAGTGAATTCACATACAAATATTTAGTAAAAATATTTAAAAAATCTGAATTTGTGTAATAAAAAAAAAAAAAAAAAAAAAGACTTAAACTGTTTGCTAAAACTTTGCCAAATTTTTGTGAAGATACATTTATTACTATTAAAGTTATAATATGTGTAGTTTTATGGGTACAAGGTTGGTCAAAATAACCAAACCCATACAAAAGGTTCATCCCTTAGTAGTAACTAAGGTGCTTGAGAGATTAAATGTACATGCGTGATGCACCAGAGCCAGACAATAGTTATATATTAGATCAAAGATTATATATAACTGCTTCTCTCTTTCATTTTTAACAGGTTAATAGAAAGTGGACAGTTGCCTGAGGATTGGGGAATTGCTTATGTTACTATAAATGGGGTAATTAAGAGTTGTTCTGGAAATTATAGGTCAATTAGAAGTGTTGAGCAATTACCAATTTTAAAATTTGATCATCATTTCGATATTTGTAAATAATCCCAATTATCAATTATTCTAATTATGCCATTTTTAGGTGAAGAAAAAGGAAAACAAATAGAACATGAAATTAACATAAAAAAATACAAAAAATAATGGATTACTTCATATCTACTAAGTCAATAAATAATATGACACCATACAAGAAAGAATAGTAATCTTTAACCAAGAACTGTTTTATTAACCTTATAGCCACAGTTATCCTTTACTGTGCATGACACAAGGTTTTAGTGTCTTACATTCAAAATTTTATTAAACTTCTTTTTGTTTAAGTTATACCAACTAGAATAACATAAAATCTTAGCTAATAATCCATATTTTAATAGTATACAAGTTTTAAGTTCTTAATTCTACAAGGAAATATTAAAAAATCCTGAATTTCCACTAGTGTGACACACATGACACATTTTCTTTTAGTATGTTATCATTTCTTTTTTATCCACCACCCCTTAAAAAAGTACAAAATTAAGCATAAATTACTCTCTATAAAATCATTATTGCTCAGACAAACCATAATTTTTATAGTCTTCAATTTTGTTTGGTTATAGAGAAATCGAATAGAAAATCAGACCCATTCTGCCACAACCACCTGTCACATCCTCTCTTTGAGAATTCATTGATAGTTCTTTCTTACATTTCCTTATATATTACCTATAACCAACAGAAAGTCAAGGTTTTCATCTATCAAATGACATATTGTATAACATTATGTTCTGAACAGTTAGATGTCAATTTACAGTACAAGATTCGTTCCCATGAGAAAGTTAACGACTAGCTTGGATGAATTTCTAATGGCTCTTGTCGCATAGTTAGAAAGCCAGAAAAACTGGCTATATTTGACTATATTCTTTGGTGCATTATTTAATTAAATAAAAATTATTAAGTGCATTACTATCATTGTATAAAAAAATTAGGGTTAACTCTCTTCAAGAAACAACAGCAAGAAAAAAGAAAATTGGTTAAGGATTTTATTTCTTGTTTTTCATGTTTATTCTTTATGTCTAATTATAAAAGTAAATAAAATGTAAAAAATACGGATCCTTTCAGGTTAGTTTAGATTTGGCAAAATAAATAATAATAATATTATAATGAAATTGTTTCACGAGGCACACACGCATGCTGTTCATAGGTAATGCAGTTCTTAAGCATGAGTTGCATGTTACCCAAGTTATTTACAATTTATAATGGTGTGGATAGTAGTTAGACATGTTTCAAAGGGCAATAAAACAATAAAATTTAATTATAAATAGATGTATACTAAATGTAGTTTCATGTTATAATTTAAAGTCATTCTGGAAAGAAAAAAGGGTAATTTCGAGTGGTATTTTTTTTGGTAGTTATGAGGTTGGTCAAATTGACTAATCCCATTTTGAGATAGGGTAAAGAAAATAACAGATAAACTATAAAGTTTTACTGATAGGATATTTTAGATTTTTGAGATGAGGAAAAGTATTTTTAATTTTAACATGAAAATTACTTTACACACAGACTATTCAAAATAAATACTTCATATATTCATGGATAAATCTTTATTTCACTAAAAATATGATTTTTGTATGTTCCAGACTTATGATATTAACTGAAAGACTGCCAAATTTTGTGAAGATATACACACTGTATTGAAAGTTAGAAGTATTAGATTTAATTTGACCAACCATGTGACCTCTTCGTACTCGTTTAAAGTCTTTATAGATTTATAAAGACTTTAAAGGAGTACAAAGAGGTCACATGGTTGGTCAAATTGACTGAGCCCGTGTTGAGAGTTAGGAAATAAAAAAAAAAGTTTATTTCAAAATTAAATTAACTATTTTATTTTTCTGAAACTATATGCCTTTATGAAAGTTCCTGTCAAGTTTCAAACAATTCTGTGTACTAGTTTTATTTCTGGGACGTAACATTACAATGTAAGGACACAGCAACCAGAGCATTAAGGAAAAAGTTAAGCTCTTACATGCAAGGGATACAGTGTTAGTAGTGATCAAATATCAGTTGTGCATATGTTAATGATATAAGGAAGGGTAAATCAGAGGAGTTAAAGCTCTAGATAGATGTGGGAGTAGATCAAAGTGAGCATGTCATGACCTTTTTACAGTTACATTCAAAACTTAAACTACTCAAACAGTATTTGTCAATAAACTTAACATCAAAACATACTTTGTTAATCTAATTTTTATATCATCTAAGTTTTAATTTCTTAATTTCAAAAGAAAATATCTAAATAAATTATCATTATTTGCTTATCTGTAACACATGGCACTTCTCTATTACAAACTGTCCATTTTTTATTTACTTTCTACCTCAATATAAATATATGAGTTTGACAAAAGTTACACACTTATACTATAGGTATTGCTAAGCCATAATGTCAACTACAGCCTCTAAGCTTCTAGCTTTATTGAGATACAACCAATAAAGTCAAATGCACATGTCAAACCACTCATCATATCCCATATTTCAAAATATTTTGACCCAAATATAGCTTAATTGGTAAGCCTAATAAATTACAGTTGACTTTTGTTGTATTAATATAGTTATTTATAATTTTCTATTTCAAAATGTATATATAAAACCTAAAAAATTTTTGTTTTACATCCTCCACGTACAAAATTCCACAAAGCTGAGGAAGGTACAGCAAGTGAGTACAAACTTTGTAACAATCATTAGTAGTAGAGATCTTTGTTTTCTATATTTCTTTATTTACTGTCTATGTTTTAAGAAAATAACAGAAATTTAAGAAGATAAAGGTTTATGTTTAACGAGTGTGATGAAATATATAGGCTCGGATGTCGATGTCACGTAAACCGAATGTTCAATATGAGTTGGCCTTGAGAGCTGGCCAATCATAACCTAGAGTTATTTGTGTCAGGTTTAGTTTTCTGCCAAAGGGATGTGTAAAGTTCGTAAAAGACTTATGTGGGATAATAGTTACAAGAATTGTTAACTAATTTCTATAAAGATAAAATCAAAAATCAAATAAACAATAGAAATAAAATTAAATAATGGCAAAATGTGGTGGGAAATAGAGAAAATAATAATGTAGCTCAATATATAGGAAATCAAACTAATATACAGAGAGAAATTTAAGGAAGAATAATACTAACAACGTAAAGTAAGTTTAATCATGAATTGAGTTTTGAAAATATTTTCAGAGACTTGCAAAGGTCAACAACCCCGGGATCGAGATTGATACCATTTGGCGTTACAGTATTTCACAGTGTTATCCAATAAGCTTCTTTAATTTCCCTGTTTCTGTTAGATGTAAAATTTGTCTCTATATCTGTCAGTTTAATGTCTTCAAGAGACTGTCCAAGCATGTTAAAGTTCTTTGTTTGTTTTGATTGTTGATTTATGGTTATTAAAACATTCCCGTATAGTTGGTTTGGTTTGACCTACACATTAGAAATTGCATTTCCGACATTGGATTAAGTAAATAACA